CCCACTTTTACCACTGAATTTAAGTTTCAGTTCTCTGAGAGGGGCAAACAGGTGTCTCTCCCAACAAAGGGCCATTTATCAACAAATTATATTCATAGCCAGGGGAGAGAATATGAACAAGTCCTACAGTCAGCCCCACAATGTTTTAAGGACAAGTCCTACAGCCCCACTTCTGGGTCATGTCTGGACTTGCCCAAGGTCACACAAATGTGTCCAAAGTAAAGCCAAGTCAATTAAAAGCATACTAATGTAACTGATGTTTGCTTAACCATCTCAAAAGTTTGAGATGACCTCATTGTCCCTGAAACGGCCATTTAACGATGCTTAAAAGAAGCGTGTGTGGTCTTTTCAGGGTTGCCATTTTGTCATGTGGTTGAGCCCTGCACACTAGAATTTTTACTCTCAAGAAAGAAATGCTCTTGTTGATTGCATGTGTGAAATGTGGTCTTTTGTGAGTCATCCCACATGACTCTCAGACCCTAACAGTAACCAGCTCTTTATTTGGACGTAAGACCAGTTCCATGAGAGGAGAATCAGGTCACAGATCTTGGAGGAGAACTTCAGCTGCCACATGACTAAACCAGCATAATCCCTAATTACATCATAGATGCTTGTTCTTATACCCTTCCTTCATTAAGGAAATTTCTCTTTATAATCTGTTTAAACCATAGAAGTGATGTGTCTACATGAAACAAGTCTTTTGTCTCTGCCATTTCATGTCTTTAAATAACAATGTCAGGGCACATTGTTAGCTTGCTAGTAGGTTAAAATAGACCATTTATAGTTCTTGTTGTATATAAAAGACACAAAGTCTGGATATAGATGATGCTTATGAAATATTATTTTCTATGGCCATCCACATTATTTCCTTCTTTATCTGCTGATTATAATTCCCCAATAATACAAAGCACATAATGTGTGAGATGGCAGTTATTACACAAGTCCAGTCCTGGAAGACACTCTCAACAGTTTACATATTTATCTTTGCCCTGCCTGTCTAAAATGCATGTACTCAAATGTTTTTCTTTTCGATGAAGTAGATGATAATGTATGTCCTATCACTAGTTCTTTCGTTTGATGATGTGCTGTAAACATTATTTTTAGAATATCAGGCACTTCTTTTTGATGGCTGCTTAGTGTGAATTATAGTTGGCTAAACAGCTTCTTACATTTACAGTAGATTGGATTCATTTTTTCTAATTTATCAATCTCCCATAATATATCTTGCCACAGTTTATGTGTGATCTCAATATTATTATTCTGTGCTCTATGACAAAGGACATCTCATTAGATGTGATACAAACAGGTTTGGATTGTGCTTTGAGCTCTCACTTGTCTTGCTGCTTTTCTATTGCTGCTAAGAGAATCATGCCTCATGAAAGTCACTGCCTGCTTTTGACTGGACACAGAGAGGATACATGTGTTATATGACAAAACTTTTCCAGTGGAGAAACAACACATGTTACTCATCACAGATAGGGAGCCCACAACAGACCAAAGTATGGATACCACCAAAGTCCAGTTTGGCAAACCAATGAGTTTTATTGGGATAGCTTATAGGAATATGGGTAAGGGGTTACTTATAGGAGCAGAATGACTCAAAGACAGCCGCATCACCAAAGCCCACCAAGTATGGGTGACAGCTCCCAAAGCTGGGAACCTGGAGCACACTGCACAGGCTGCAGGCAGCTCATCAGGCTTGAGAGTGTCCTATCCAGGTGCCTCAGTTGTTCTAAACCTCTCCCAGGCAGCTGGTCTCGTATCAGAGTCTTCTTTGTAGCTTGTCTTCTCTGAAAGGAATGCCAGTTTTTATTACTTACTCTGGCAGGGAGGACCCTAGTGAATCTGATCAGTTTCAGGGACTTCCTGGAGCTGTTTTGAGTTATTTACCTTCCTGCTTAAGGAGCTTCCCAGAAGGATGGAATGTTTTAATCTCAGACAAAACTGTTATATATATACAACAACACCCAACAGGGAAAGTCCATCCTATCCCACCTGTAGACATTTTATAAGAATAAATACTATATATGGTACTGTTTGAGTAAATTTGCTAGTATTATTATGAAGATTAATGTCATAGTCATTTTTATTGATTCCAATTTTTATTATAAACATTTGTTCAATTATTAGTCATCCTTTTCCACAAATTTTGCAATTTTTAGTCAGATATATTCCTAGAAGCATAATTAATTTTTGAAGCTAAATAGATAATGTTGATGGTGATAGAAATACTAATATATAGCAAGAATTTTCCATATCCGGACTTTGTGTTTTTTTATATGACAAAAACTGTAAAAGTTTTAAGATTTTTACCCTATCTTCAAGGTAACAACTTATTCTGACATCATTATATGGAGATATGGAACACCCATGTTAGGAACAAAAGGCTTTGTTTTCCACAGCACAGCAACTCTTTGCTTTTCTGATTTTCTACTTGAACCTCAATATCTGTCTCTGGGTTTTTATTATTTGTGTCACACAGTTCTCTCCTTCCAGCATGTGGGGTCTGGGGGTTGAACTTGGGTCATCAGAGTTGGCAGAAGACATCTTTACTTGCTCAACCATTTCACAGGCCCGTTTTTTCCTTTAATGACTATGTCAATATACCGGAACTAAGGAGGTACTTCAATCTTCAAAATGTAAAACAGCTGTAGCAATGTTGCTATAACATGGCTTTACTTATAAAAACAAAAGAAAAATCTACGTGACCATAAAACTTAATTGGTGGAGCTAAGGGACAAAACCCTCATAAGGACCACTATAACTGTTGGACAATTCAACTCACAGGTCTATATTTGAAGCCTGGGGTTGATTTGCTGGTTCATTAACAGTCAAAGATTCCTCCAAGTCCTAATGTCTACATCCAATGCCAATACTCACCAAAAGATCTGCATAGCCTACATAAAGTGAGGAACTGGCACAAGAGATGAATTATTTGATTTCTGTGTTTGCATTTCTTTGTCCAAAGAATACAATTCAATCTGAGGGAAAGTGTTGGAGGGAGCTTTGCTGCCATTTTGTGATTATAACACTGCCAAATCAGTGACATCTCTGGAAGAAAGCAGATGACTTTTCCCAGCCTAAAGTCAAAGAATAGGTAGTCAAAAGAACAAAACAATAGTTTCTTCTAATAAAAGCATTTAAAACTCAGTAGGTTACCCACTCTAAAGAACTTTCTGTGCTTACACGGGTTTTTCTCATAGAGAAGTCAAAGGTCAACCCAGTTTTCTCCTTCAACCATAAGGGCCTTGGGAATTGAACTCCCCTGTACTTGTAATTAGGCTTTGTAGCCAAGATGCTGACCCATCTGCTATATGTAAGAACAGACACACACACACACACACACACACACACACACACACACACACACGAGACAGACAGGAGAGACAGAGAAAGGGAGAGAATGATAATTTAAAAAAATTATAAGACTATCCGGGCATTGGTGGCGCATGCCTTTAATCCCAGCACTCGGGAGGCAGAGTTTAAGTCTACTTAAGAGGAGACTGTGGTGATATCTTGCTTGTATAAATAAAGCCTGTCTAAAGGTCAGAGAATGGAGCTTTCCAGTAGCTAACCAGAGGCCTGGAGGTCTATACAGACAGACAGGAAGTGAGGTAGCAGGGCAGAAACAGGATATAAGTAGGAAGAACAGGAACTTGCTCTCTTGTCTGCTGAGACGCTACAGAGGTAAAGTGTGGCTGTGGCTTGCTCCTTCTCTCTGCTCTCTCAGGATTTTCCTCTATATTTGACTCTGGTTTGTTATTATCTAGACTAATTAAGAACTCCATTTACAAGAGACAAAATGCACTGCAATTAACAATGGGTAGAGAATATCATCTTAGGAGAAGTAAGTCTCAAAGGCAGGCTGTGCTCAAAGGCCTGAGTTCTGGGAATAGGGACAGAGGGGTGAGTGGGTGAGGTTGAAACCATAAGCAGTTTAAGCTTCATCCTGTTTAGTGGGAAAGTATTAGTTCAATGAATGGAACTATTAAATGGTGTCAAGTGGAGACTGAGATGACCAGACTTACTTAAAAAAAAAGAATCACCCAAGTAACTCTATGAAAGGTACATTGAAAAGCCAGGTAGGAGGCAATTTCAGTGTTGTGACGAGATAGTCTGTGGTCCGAAAGGAATGCCCATGGCTTCCATGAATAAAATGACCTTGTTTTATGAATGGAATTAGCATTTTAAAAATTAGTTGAGAATCAGGAAGGAAACCAGAAAGAAAAAAGTATGTCCAATTGCTTCAAACATAAAACCAGAAGCTAAGTTTGGTAGCACATGTTTTAAATACTATTATTTAGGAAGCTGAGACAGCAGAATTTTGAGTTCAAGGCAAACCCGAACTATATTATCATGACTCTGAAAAACAAAACAAAACAAAAATACTCATCAAACCCACAAAATTAGATGGATAAGTCACAGTCTTATGAATATGTCTTAACAGCTGTGGCTTGATGGGAAGTCATTGTTCCCAGCTCAGGCGGTCCCAGTCATCACAAGAATCAAGAATCAGAATAGCAAAATTAATTCTGTCACGACACCTACTAAGTAAAAGAGACAGCATCTAGGATTTGACTAGGTTTATTGGAGAGCTGATTTATCAGCTAGAATGAAGAAGGGCTTTAATTGCCCTGTGGGTGTTACCAAGTGCCCCGAAGCTCGAGTGAAGTTGAATATCACGTTCTTTCACTATAGGTTTTTTACAGAGTGTAAACACTTACACAGCAAAACTGAGAAACGTGATTTTTATTCTCATTCCCTCTCATTCCCTCTCTTCTTCTCCCTCCCTCTCTCCTCCCTCTTTCTCTCTTCATTTACCTGTCAACAGGTGTCATAATTTCTGTTGAAGAGACAGAAAATTAGAGAATAGCTTTTGTGTGGTTTACTGTCCACCTGATCATCATCAAAGAGGGCTGAGTGGGATTCCTTTTACAAGAACAGCTGTTTGGTTTTTTTTTTTTTTTCATTTTTATTGTCCTTAGCAAAGATCTGTTCATTTCCCATCGCTCAGAAGTTATTTGAGCCTTTGGTCCTCCTACAACTGAAAACATCTGATCTTGGGCTCTAGCTTCCTGCAGAGTGAGCCTAGAGATTCTCGGTAAATCGGACACAGAACTCGTCCACGTGGGAAGAGGACAGCAACTACGTTTCCCAGCATGCCCTGATGGGCGCACAATGGAGTATGGCGTCATCTTGGTCACGTGGCGGCGCGTTTCCCGGCGCGCTGAGGGATTCCGGCTAGGGTCCCTCCCCAGGCGGAGGGCCCTGCTGGGCCGGGAAAACTACAATTCCCGGCATGCCTCACCTCGGGTGCGCCTGCGTACGGGAGCAACCCTGCTGGCGAGCGGGTTGGTTTAAAACGCTGTTCTAGTCCCATGGAAACAAACCTGCTGGCCCCGAGACGGAGCTACAGGCTGGTGGATGGATTAGGGGCGAGGCTGCCCGGCCAGGTAAGTAAACGGAGGTGGGCGGTGCAGGAGCGAGACCACGCCTCAGAACAAGGCCTGGAGTCCCTTTCCCTCCCAAGCCGAGTCCAGTCCCTCCCTCCAGACCTCCAGGTCCTTGGTTTAACCATGCTTCAGCACTCTGTCTGGCTGTGAAAAGCACCTCAAGCTATGTTGGCTTTGGTTGGAACATAGCTGCCGGAGGGTGGCCAGTCGCTGAGACCTCTACTTTAGCCGCCGTTCCCTTTTCATACAGTTAGTTGGAGGTTCCTGGGAAGGCCTTTCGGCATTAACATTGGTTTTCTACCACTGGTTGTCCTCCCCGGCTTGCTTCCTAGACAAGAGTTTTCATTTGTGCATTGTTTCCTGCCCGTGCTGGAATAGATCTTGTTAACTATTGTCATGTTTGTTTGGCACCCACAGCAGCCAAGGCACTGTGATACTAGGCTCTACAAAACAAACAATTAAAAAAAAAAAAAAAACTCACAGAAACCTAAGGACTGCAATCCTACTTGAAGACATATTAATCAACACGGGGCACGCACAGACGTCTGGGTTTTCGTGGACTCCCCCAGTGAGAGGGAATGATAGGCAGGGAGGAGGAGGATAAAGGTCATTTCACACCAGCTGCTCTCCAAGCACTGTTGGTAGTAGTGTTTTGGGTTTTTCGAGACACAGTTTCTCTGTGTAGCCCTGGCTGTCCTGGAACTCTCTGTAGATCAGGCTGCCCTAGAATTCAGAGATCCACCTGCCTCTGCCTCCAGAGTGCTGGAATTAAAGGCATGCGACACCACCGACTGGCTCCAGACACTATTTGGGACATAACACTTATTTTTTAGTTTTCTCTGATAAAAATTGCATGCTTGTGGTCAGTAAGATCCTTTCTAATACGGAGAGCAGATTTCTACCAAAGTTGGAGACCCTTTTGAGACTTGAATAGAAATGTGTTGTCGATGCTACAAATACCATGGCAACCCCTTTACAATGACTTAGTCAATAGTTTGATGAAGACAGCAGTAACTTCACCTGCACAAACCAGGTTAAGACCTCCAATGCTTAGGAAAATTTATTTTGCAACCTGAAGAGAAGAACCTGGAGCCAGGAGGCAGAAAGAAACAGAAGACCTAAAGTGGGAGGAACCTGGGGTGTAGCACAGTAGGGTGCTTGCCAAGCCCATTTTTCTGTGCCTTTAATTCTAGCATTGCAAGATAGAGACCTGAGGATGGGAAGTTCAAAGTCATCCTCAGTGCACAGTGAATTTGAGGGCAGCTTGGGTTACACAAGACCCTACCTCCAAGTATAACTAAATAACTAAATAGCTAAATAACTGCCTTTATGAAATGTATTCATCTCTCCCTACCTTAGCAGACTCTTAGTGGTAAGCTTCCATGTTTCCTGAGGTCTCAAGAAGGTAGCTTTTTCCTTTTGCTGCCTCCTTTCTTTCTTTCTTTCTTTCTTTCTTTCTTTCTGTGATTGGGACCCCAGCCAAGAAAATCTGCCCTTAACCTGGTAGACATTCTCACAGTCTCTAAAAAGGCCCTACCTCTGTACCTTGTATAACTCCTTTTACTAGTCCATGGCTGGGCTTCTGCCTTTTCTTTTGACTCAGAAGCATAAAAGGCTAACACAAGTGTAAGCATCTCAAGATACTGGGCTCGATATTGAATAGATGGTTCAGCAGTTAAGAGCACTGGCCACTCTTCTGTATCTATCTACTGGGTGATAGATACAGGCCTAATGTCGTTCTTCTGCATGTGGACATCCAGTTATCCCAGCACCATTTGTTGAAGATGTTTTCTTTTCTCCAGTATATGTTTTTGGTATCTTTGTAAAATATTAAGTGGCTGAAATTATGTGTACTTAATGTTTGGTTCTTCTATGTTGGTTTTGATAGCAGTACCATAATGATTTAAAGTTTTCATTGTAGAGGTCCTTTACTTCCTTGGTTAGGTTTATTCCTAGGTATTTTATTTTCTTTGAGTATATTGTGAATGAGAATGTGTCCATGATCATCTCTGTATGCTGGTGGAGTATACAAAAGCTATTCATTTGTAGAAGTTGACGTTGTATCCTGCCATGTTTCTGAATTTATTTATTGTTTCTAGGTTTCTCTTAGAATGTTTGGGATCTCTATAGTATCATGTCGTCTGCAAATAGGGATAGTTTAAGGACTTCTTTCCCTATTTATTTTCCTTTAATTGCTTTCTCTTGCCTTTTTGCTCAAGCTAGTACTTTGAGCACAGTGTGGGGATGGTGGGTATCTCTGTATCTTTCATTCCTGACTTCAGTGTGATTTTTTTCAAGATTTTAGAATGATGTTGGCTGTGGGTGTCTTGTATGTAGCTTTTATTGTATATTGTATAGATCCAACACAATTATATGTAGTATGTATGTATGTATGTTTCTAGCCCTACATTCTCTAGAACTTTTATCATGATAGCATTTTGGATTTTGTCAAAGGCTTTTGCTGTATCTATTGAGGTCATGTGATTTTTGTGTTTAAGTCCACTTATGTAGTTTATTGCATTTATTGACTTATTTATATTGAACCATCCCTGCATTTCAGGGATAAAGCCAACTTGGTAATGATGTATAGTCTTTTTGATGCATGTTCATATTCTGTTTAAAGTATTTTATTGTATATTTTTGAGTCTATGTTCATCAGGGATATTGGTCTTTAGTCTGTCTCCCTCCCTTCTCATCCTCTTCCTCTTCCTCCTTCACTGTTTTATCTTTATCTGCTTTGGTTAATAAAATGTTACTGGCTTTGTAGAAGGAGTGTTCTCTGTCTCTCTGTCTTTCTTTCTGTCTTTATTTCTTTCTGAATAGTTTAAGAAGGACTGACTGTATGTTCTTTGAGACTGTTCTTTGAATGTCTGCTAGAATTCTGCTGAAAATCTGTCTGGCTCTGAACTTTTTTTGGCTGAAAGACTTTTTATTATTGTTTTAATTTCCTCATTTGTTATGGGTCCATTTAAGTTGTTTACTTCTTAGCTTAATTTGGATGACTTGCCTGAATCTAGAAATTCATCTGTTTCTTTTGGTTTTCAAAGCTTAATGAAGTGCAGGTTTTAAAAATATTATGATATGAATTTCGTGTTGTCATTTGTAATGTTTCCCTATTAATTTTTTTTTATTTTGTTAATTTGGGTCCTTGCTTTCTTTTGGTTATGTGGGTTAAAAGTCTGTCAATATTGTTTACTTTTTCAAAAATAACCAACTCTGATTAGTTGATTCTTTGTATTGGTTTGTTGTTTCTATTTTGTTGATTTCTGTTCAGATTTTTATTATTTCTTGCCATTGGCTGTGTTTGGATTTGGTTTATTTTTGTTTTTCCAACTTCTTGGGTTGCATCATTAGTCATTTAGTTGCGCTCCTGATTTTCTTTAGTGTAGGCACTTAGAGCTATAAATTTCCTCATAGGACTTATTGCTTTCATTGTGTCCCAGAGGTTTTATTGTCTTTTGTTGTATTTTCATTTAGTTCCAGTAAGTGTCTCTTTCTTGATTTTTTTTCTGTTTCATCATTATTTAATAAGTTGTTTAATCCCTATGAGTTTATATATTTACTAGAGTTTTTTTTCTGTCAGTTTAAAATTTTATTGCATTATAGTCAGATAGGATACAGAGTGGTTTGTTTGTTTATTTATTTATTTATTTATTTATTTATTTGAGTTTGTAAAGATCTGTTATCGTATCCCAGGATGTCATCTATTTTTAGAGAAGCTTCTGTGTGCCACTGAGTAAAATGTGTATTCGTTGGCATTTGGGTGTAATATTCTGTAGATTTTTAGTCCATTTGATAGATGATATCAGTTAATTCTGATGTTTCTCTGTTTATTTTTTGTTCAGATGGCCTATCTTTTGGTGAATGTAGGGCATTTAAATTACCTGCTGTTAATGGGTTGAAGTTAATCTGTTTCTTTAAATCCAGAACTAGATTTTTTAAAAAATGAAACTGGGCACCCTGGAGTTTGGTGTATATGTTTAGGATTGTAATGTATTCCTGGTTAACTCTTTTGGTTAATTTCAGTTGAAGTCTATTTTATCAGAGATTAGGATGGCAGTGCTTGCTTCCTAGTCTACTTTGATTGGAGTACTTGTGTACATCCTTTTCCTCTAAGATAGTATCTGTCTTTAAACTAAGATGTATTTCTTGTAGGCAACAGATGGATTTTATTTCTTGATCCATTTAGTCAGTTTGTATCTTTTAGTTGGAGAGTTGAGGCCATTGTTTTTTAAAGTTATTACTGAAGTGTGTGCATGGGTGCATGTGTTTTGTTGTTTTCTGAAAGACCCCCGAAGAGGTACTTTCGTAGAAGGAGACCCGCACCCAGGAATCAGCGAAACCACGAACTTTGGATGCAAAAGCAAGAGGCTTTATTAGTAGCACGGGTACCTGGGGATTTAGCTTCTGTTCGGCCAAGCCCCGAGCCCCGGAAGGGGGGTCCTTTTATAGGGGAAAAAGGCACAGTACAGAAGCGAAAAGCATCAAATCAGCATTTTCTCAAGGTCTAATAGTCAGGTGAAACGGCCTTTATCTTCTGCCGCGTCCAGATGGCTGACCTTGGGACGGAGCGATCCGGCGGGGGCCGGCCTTGCGCGGCGGCGGGGAAGTGGGAGCCGGCGGCTGTGGGGATCAAGGGTCGGGGAGTGCAGGGGAGGATGTATTCGCCGCGCGCCCCGCCAGCTGCCGACCGGAGGAGGAGGCAAACTTAAAAGAAAAAGCTAAGGGCGGGGGTCTTTCACTTTCAAACTTAGCTACTACTCTACCAAGCACACTTACTGCTTGGCTGTTATGGAACTTGCCCTGTAGACTAGGCTTGCCTTGAACTTAGAGATCTTCCTGTCAGCCTCTGCCTCCCAAGAGCTGGAGTTAAAAGCATGTGCCACTGCTGCCTGGCATTTGAAATGCATGCATTGATAGTAGTCACTGTATTGTTTTTGATGGCATTTTTTTTTGTATTTTGTGGTTTAATAATAATAGCTTTGTATTTCTTTCCAGTC